AGTCCTGCCTGTCAATGCCATGAAGATAAACAAAGACTAAATAACACCTGTAGACAGCCTCAGTAAAGTAGCTGTACGTCTCTATCTCCATATAAAAAAGTTCTTTAGTACTACAGTCGTAAATCACAAATGCATCAAGTTCATGGGTGAAGCATAAAAACAGGGGTGGTTCAAGTCCCATGTACAGCAGATGTAATATATGAAATCTTTACAAGTACAAAGTCCCTGTTCAGGCCAAGGACACTGGCTTCAGGTAGTTACCTATGAACAAATTATATTGAGTGTCAGAGTAGGTATCTGCCTCACCAGGATGCATCCCTGCTCGTTCCCAATGGGCTGTATCCCACAATGACGATATCGTTCTGTCGGCAAAATTCGAGCAACTTCGGCTGCGTGAAATACGGATGGCATTCAACCTGCGCGTAAACGAGACCAAAAAATGCTTTAAGTTTCTTTTTTACTTTTTTCACTTGTGTTCGCGAAGAGTCAAACGTCCGTCAGTTACAGTTGTTTCTGCACCTGGTTTGAGACGGGCTTGTGTTTGAGCCCAGGTTTGTTGAGAATCAGCTCCAGTTGTCGCTTATTGAAGTTGGACACGCCCAGAGATTTCACAAGTCCAGCTTCTTTGCAGGCCTCCAGTGCCTGACAGAGACACATGTAGTAGACAGGCAAAATGCAACAGTTAGAATATGAAACAACAACAAAGGCTACTGTCCGGTATTCACCTCCTGACCTTGAGCACTTGTGTACGATACCATGACTTTCTGGTCCTGCTTGAGGTTTATGTAAACCTCCACCCTTTATGACGGGAAGAGTTTTTTTTTTCATCATTGTACCTTTACTTTAAATTCTAGGGGAAAAAAAGAAAGCATACTATATTGATCCCATATTTGGGAAATTCTTGTTTTAGCAGCAGATATGCTGTTAGCAGGCTGCCCCCTAGCAGGCGCCAAGCATGTAGTTCCTCTGGGAATCGAACCCAGGACTCTCTGCTCTCTGCTTCTAAGGCAGGGATGCTA